ACACACACACGCGTGCACGCGCAAGATATATATATATATATATATATATATATATATATATGCATATTATTTTTCTTATTTAAACATGCAAATTAAAGCCAAACCTAGGTGATATTCAAGGTGGTGAAACATATATTATCATTGTATTCATCACAACACAATGATTATAAGCTGAAAAACATGACTTTAAAACTTCAAGATCATGGACGAGTTTCTTCAAAGAGAACTTCATGACCAAGAGGATGAACTTCCTCAAAGTTTACGCCTCCGCAGGTATCAACATTCATCATAATCCTCTGAGAAAATGAAGCACACAATTAAACTTCATGGGATTAGAACTATGGAAACAAAGCCATAGCGCTAAAACTACAAAAAAAAAAAGAAGAATAAGGAAATAAAGCAGAGCTATGGTTTTGGATCACTCAAAAAGCCAAAAAGTGGTGCGGGAAAAAGCTTCCTACCTTATGAGTTTCCTCTAACATCAGCTTTTACTAAATGGTCTACATAGAACTGTATCTAAAACTTTAAGGAGTTTAGAAACTCACCATCATCAGGCTGAGGCAATTCTCTAACTCTTTGCATTCCTTCGTATGATAGTAAAGAGATTTGGGAGAACCAGCTCCTCTTCTTCCAATCCCAAGGGAGAGTAGAGAGTTTTATTCCTTAGCCTTCTTCTATAATCCCTACCAAGCTCTGTAAAATGAAGACTTCATCATGTTTCTCTCAATTGAATCTATTAGCAAATTTTCCCTTTGTATGGGTTGTTAAGAGTATTAAGCTTTGTTTTGAAGTATTGGAAAGATTTTTTATGGATGAACTACATAAAAAATGATGTAAACATGCAGGTTTGAACTTTAGCTCTTGATAAAACTGAGTTGACTTAGGGTCTGTTTGGGTAGCTGCAACTTATTGAATAATCTGCTGATAACCTGATTAAAAATAATTTGCTGATAAGCTAGGTGTGGTGACTATTACCATTTTTTATTTTTTTGGAAAAGTCAAACCGCAGCCAGAAAGCTGTCACCGCACCCAGATAGGTGTTGTGTGAAAACACTGTTTTCAGCGTTTTGAAAACGCATAAGCTGCCAAAACTCAGTTTACCCAAACAGGTCTGGTGCGTTTTCAAAACGCCACCGTACCAAATAAAATGCCCCAAACAGACCCTTATTCTCTCAAAATTGATGAGTAAAAGTTGTGGTTTAACCTTTGAAGTGGCAAAGTTAGGGTAGAAATACCATAAAGCATAAAAAAATTAATTTGCTCCAATTTCCCCCACAAAAGTTCCACTCAATTTTGGATGAACTTAGCTTTCAAGTAGTTCTTGTTTCAATTTCTTAGAAATAGTTAATTTATCTAATATCAACTTTTTTGAGCAGGGGTTTTAGTTATGCCAAAGCCAATCCCAAACATCTCTTTAAATTTAATTCATTTAAAATTAACGTTAAATTAATCAAACTCATATAGTACTTAGTTAAAATAAATTTATTTAGATTCAAAATATGATTTATATATGATTTATACGGCTGTCAATTTGGTTTGTTGTTCGCGAACAGCTCGTGTTCGGCTCGTTAAGCAGCTTGTGTTCGGCTCGTTCGTTAAGCCTAACGAGTCAGAGACGAACAAATTTTTAAGCTCGAAATGTAAACGAGTCGAACACAAACAAAAGTTTGTTCGCTCATGTTCGGCTCAAATTGACTTGAAAATAATTGTGTGTATATATATATATATA